GCACGGCAACATCAAAAGCTCCGCAAGCAACCGGTCAAAAAAAAGGCAAAGGAAAGAATCGGAGATACATAGAATCATTCGGTTACCTAAAAACCGAAATCGGGTGGCCTGAAGGAAAGACAGAAAGCAACATAACAAAGGCCAGCGAATACAGACCGAAGTCCGGCGACCTTGAGTATCCAAATGAAGAATTCAACTAGCGTGCGGACAGCCGTAACGTCGTAAGGAAAGACATGAAGGTATTAAAAGGTGCAAAAAGTCACAGAGAAAGGAATGGAAAAAGTGCACAAAGCCGCCAACGCCAGACCAAAAGGAAAAGTGGGACGACTACATACCAACTCAACTGTTGTGTCGAGCACGAGGTAGTCCGCTTGCAGATTGACATTACTGCATTGCTCGCTTCGATTCTCGTTCGTGTACCTCCGAACCCGACCTCTTGCGATTCTCGTAGACGACATTGCGGAAGAGAGCCATGTAATGAGTGGGCGCATGAGAATCTGTTAGCTTGCGTTCGATGTCTTGTAGCATTGCCCAATGATTACGGTATACGTCTTCCTGAGGCAATGACCCGAGTGCATCGAGAACAAATGGCGGGTCGTCATCTGATGCTGCTCCAATCAACGCAACGTATAGGTTGCTTTGAACAGGGTCTGATAGGGCCTCCATCACACTCCACTTGACGCCTTCATATGCATTCTTATCGCGGTCCGTAACACGGTCGAGAATCGTAACAAGAGCCGCCGCTGCTCGGACGGCCACGTCCTCGACGTCAGCATGGCGTTGATAGAAGTCATCAATGGCTTTGACTAGTGATGTCAACTTCTGTGCACAACTGGAGACGTCGAACCGAGGGGGGCCTTGAGAGAGGTTGTATGGTCCCTTGGCTATGTACTCATCCAAAGCGTCGAAGGTGGAAGTAATGCGCTTGTCGATCTTTTCGAAGAAGACACGGCTTTCGAAGTCCGGGTCGATGATCTTGCGCATTTGGAGATATAGGCTGGGATACCAGTTTGCGTACTGCGTAAAGAGCTCTGTCAACTCCTGGTACTTCTTGGACCGTTCGGAAGTAAGAGGCGACTCGGGATATTGAAACTCTCCAGGAAGTGCATCTTGTGGCTCGTAGCATGAAAACATATCAATGACTGTCTCCTTCAAGTCGTCGTCTTCAGGCAGATTGTCATCCCGATAAACCCACTTCAGGTCGTTGGCGATATTGGCTAAGCCTTTGGTGTCCAGTAGTTCCGCAGGCTTGACGTCTTCGATCTTCGAGCCATCGGGAGAAAGGTGAAGAGGCGTCTTGACCATATCGTCTGGAGAAGTTGAGATGATCTGGTCTCCGACCCAATAGATATGCTGGGGCTACTTTTAGTGATGCGTCAATGGTTGTGTATGCGAGAGCGTACCTTGCACGCGAGACCTTTTTCGTTTGCGCCACACGTACACTCAGGTCTTCGTAACTTCCCACCCATCGCCACAATGATGTCGTCGTCAAGATGGAAGAACTTCTTTGGGCTGCCATTCGGGCTATAATCATCTTCCGAGACTGCGCAGTACTTGAGCCTGATATCGCTACCTTCCAGTCCTCTTTTGGCCCGCCTTCGTAGGTCGGTGTCGAAGGCCGAGACATTGTAATGAAGGTTCTTCGTTGATATAACCAGGGAAGGCGTAGGGGAAACGGTGGACTCGACGGATGGTATGGGCTGATCTTCCTCAGAATGCCCCGATGATTGTGTACTAGCTCTTGCGGCCCTTGCGGCCCCGGCACGAGTGGTAACCATATCCTCTCCGAGAGAGAGCTTTGAGAATTGCTCTGCTGACATGGAGAATCTTCGTTATGGGGTACTTTCATACTAAAAGTCCAGTAAGGAGCTATATATCAAACCAACTCCCCCAGCTCCACGCCACCATCTTAGTTGATCCATCGTGTAGGCAGAGCATGTCCTCCATCTCACGACGGCGCTTAACGAGTAGGCCTTCCGTGCCGTAAGGCATTCGTACGTGTGAAGCGGATGTGGCTTGCTCGGGGAGAACCGAAAGTAGGGCAGGAAATCTGTCAACGCCGCAGTACTGCCTGGCTTACTAGAACGAGTGCGGTAGGGTGACCACGGACATTTGCCGCGATTCCGTGCACGTTGGTGTCTTTATCGCGTCAATCATCTGCTTTTGGCCAGCATAACTGTCATAATACCCACTTGTTCACGAGCATTCCTCGTTGTGCACCAATGACATTGCATCGGTAGACCCAATGCCCAGTCTGCTTGAGGCGAAGCGATGAAAGCTTTAACCCGACGCGGTTAAATTAGGGGCGGCCGACGATCAAGGAATTGCCTTCTCCAGAGAATTATCTCGTTTTGCCGCCGGACCTTAATCTCAGAAATGCCGCTAAATGGTCAAGCTCAGCTATCGCAGGCTGAGTCGCAGTGATAATGCAAGGCACGGCGTTGGCGCACCGCAGCGGAGGCGAGGCTCGTGATCCAGCTTGCAGCAGGAATGCTACTTCCATGCAAACCCGAATCCGTGGCGACACGCTGTACACGAGAAGCTTCGCTGCCAGGGATAATTAATGTAATAGCAAGCCTGGTGAACTTGCTCAAGCCGTAGGCAGCATCGGTCCGTAGTGGTGGAGTAGCGAGAACTGACGTTACTCAGCCATGATGTACGGCGCGCGCGAACCCTGTAACTACCAGTCAATATCTGGACCTCGAACCGTTATAAGGCTGACTGGAATGAAAGGAGTAATACGCTTCGAGTTAAGCTTCTGACCGCATAAACATCTATTTCATGCGTGGCACATTCTGATGATGTCCACTTTGTTGAGGATGCCTTGGGCCGCGCATCAACGACCTAGATAGCCAGGTAGCGCTCGCGACTGTGTTGCACCGACGTAATTCACTAGCAGTAGCGACGGCTTTGGGGGCTGTGGAAATGCCCAGGTGTCGAGCGCGTGCCATCGCTGGTGGATGCATCGTGTGCATCCATCATGGTTCCGAGGTTTGAGGGTCAGGTCGCGTCGCGAAGCCCGTCTGCACCCACAGCCTCACCGTTCGCGCAGCGGGCTACGACGAGGACGTGAACTCTGCCATGCGATCACAAGCTCCAGGTTTCCATGACGGCTTTCGGGAATATTTTTAATCAATGGGGCGCCTCTTGCATGAGCCATGGATGCGTCCATTCAGCAGTTTCGACTAACCGCCGTGCGAGTGCAAGAGACGGAACGGCCCCGGACGAGCAACAATGAAGATCTAACAGGTACGAGGTGTTGTCACAGATTGAGACAAGCCCCCAAAGTCGAGCGGCGCAGTGTGTTCATGCTTGGAGTGGGTGAATGTTTGCGAGGCGCGGATGTCTGCAACGGCTTCCAGCTGTTGTGTTAGGTCATGGCGTGACGGCGTGGATCCCAGGCACAACACTCGGGATCCGCGCTAGCAGCCTGGGGATCCACCACACGGGACCGGCTCCGATCAGAAGTTGTTGGAAGCATCGATTGTTGCTGCCTCGCCCAAATTAATGCGATGTATTATGCAGATGGGGCCATCTCTGTGCGATGGAGAACATCCAGGTAGCAGGCAGGCACGGACGGCAGGTTGCGATACCGCCCAGGTGTGGTAGTCGACCTCACGCGTCACTGCAACAGAAGATCGAAGCTGAAGGATTTAAGGTGCAGCAGGTCTGCAGCACGGGTTTGTTGGTATACGAGCCTAGTCACAAGCGACCTAGTCTTCTGTGCCATCGATGCAGCACAGAAGCAGCTAGACCCACTGGCGCGGGGTCCAAAGCTGACATCTGCTCAAGCACCGAGGATACGCATAACACATACCATCCACACCATCACGCAGATTATCGTTACTCAATACACTGTTCGCATCTCTTCATCGAATTAGAGCTATTCATTGCAACCGAGCGGCAAACATGTCTCAGCCCACGGCACCCTCTATACCTACATTCTATCGCATATTCTTTACATACCTCGACCCCATCATCTGCGCTTGGGGCGCAACCATGGACTTCTTCATGCCCACTGTCGTTCTCTCTTCACATATCCCCTCCCCAACCCCAGACATCGGCCACGCCATGATCCTCAAGCAACGTGGCGGGGGCATGCTAAATTTCGGCATCATGTCTGCTGTCCTGCTACGATACACGAACGACATGAACGTCTGGCGCATTGTCCAGTTGTCGTGCTTCGTTGTCGATCTGGCGTACTATTGGGCAGTCTGGGAGGTGTTGGAAAATCAGGGCAGACTAAGCGTAGGCACCTGGCGGGCGGAGGATTGGGGAAGTATAGGCATTACGGCGTTTGCAGGGCTGGTCAGACTAGCATTCATGGCAGGGGTGGGATTTGGTGAAGCCTCAAGGAATGACAAGAAAGACTTGTAGGCCTTGAAGAAGAATTCCTACTACAAGACTCATTACGAGCGTATGAGCGCAAAAGAGTTGTTCGGTGCGAGATCATATTTTGTTCCGCTTGTCTGCTCATCATTGCCAGTCGCGATCCGTGGTGTTGATATAATTGCTGGGCTGTGCTCTGCGTTTACAGCTATATTACCCCGGGACCCAGCGCGAGCCACTCGGCTATGTCTTGCCAACCGTGTGCTACACTTGGTGCTGACGCCTGAAGCCTTTGCAGCTCAGCTGCGAGCACGACTGCCTGTCTTGATCCAATCCTCAATGCAACAAAATGGAGAATGCCAATGACCCATTGCCGCATTTGATGCGAAATAAGCACACACGTACCCACTGCATACAGTGGCTGGACGAGCTGCATTAGTCTCGGTGAGATGACTGAATCGATAAAGGTCCCCGGTTCTCTCATGATAGGACCATCCTTTGTTTCATCTTCGGGGGACAATCCAGCAGCAGAGAAGACCGGGGATGGCACCATGCCGATGGTCTGGGGAACTGCGGCAATGATTGCGGCAACGTTAGCTCGTAGCACATTCTCCTCATGCTGTATACATGCTTTTAAACTGGCAGCGTCGTAGAGCGGGGAAGTTTGTTCCTCACGAACCCTCATCAGGTTTGCTCTGATGATATCGTGTACTTGAATTCCAATAAACCGGGTGTAATTCCACAACTGCGCCATGACGGGAACGAGGCAGATGCTGTATGTTTTTCCACAGTAATGAACTGAAGGTACATCAAGATGGACCCTTGTTGGATGCCAGGCTGCAGGTAAAAGAGCCTTGATATCCTCTAGCTCTTGACTGAGATTTCTCGCGCGGTTGATTGTTTCCACGGGATCTCGGCTCTTGTCTTGACCGAGTTTGACGACTGCGTCCATGACGTGCAGAATGCCGATCATGAATTTTTTAACAAGCTCGTTGAATCCCGATTCCAGGGGGATGCTGTCGTACAGCTCTTGCAAGTGCTCTAGATATTGGTGTGCGATGTTAGTTCGTGTATTACATGCAGTCCGCCTAGGATTGTGACTAACCTGGAATACCCGTCCCTAGTTCAAGCGTGAAGAATAGAGCGACGCCGTATGACTGCTGGAATATTCGCCGTCCAAGTTCTGTCTCGAATTGCGACTTGCCGCGTAACATGAAGAGGGTGTAAGCCCCGCTGACGTGCTTTGACCACCTATCGATGGAACTCTTATCTGTGTATACCGTGCCCTCGTACATGCCAAGTAGGATGACCGAAACCAAAGTGCTATCTTTGACCGCGGCTTCGTGCGACATGAGCGCTCTGTTTGTTTCCTCCAATGCAGAACCGTATGCGATACGCGCTTTTCGCATGACGGCAGGAGACTTCGCTGCATTGGCGAAGATTGCTAGACTTAGGGCGCGGAAGCTCTCACGAAGCGTACCCTCGATATTCGGCCGTGACAACAGCTGGGGAATCCATTCGAATTGGCCTCCTTGAGGGAAATCGGCAGCGCCTGCATAGTTGGTGAGGAAGAAGCCTTGCGCTTGGGCGTCGATATTCAGCGTGGGTTGCAAGGCCATGATCTCAGCCTTGGGCGGACTCTGCACCGGATAGATCCGCTGCACGCTTCTGATCCTGTTGGGTTCTCCACGCCCCAAAGGTGTTCTTGGTTCTTTTGATTTGGCAAGCTCTTCGTAACGCTGTTCCGCTTTCTTTGCCACGACGCGACTCTCATTCTTGAACATTAGGGAAGCCACGTCGCGGTATCCATGGCATTCTTTGCCTGCACGGAGACATTGCGAACAGGAAGGCCGCTTCTGGTCACACTGGAACAGCGGATTAGTGGCCCAAGTATCTACTCACGCGTGCATTACATACTTTGATCCTGCGGTCCCTACATGTCTTGCAACCTGGAGAAGGTCTGCCAACATTGGGCATTTCGAGAAATGATGACTAATTGCCCGGTGGTGATACGACGCAGTCCGGACCCGCACTGCTAAGTTCTCACCTACATCGATGATGGGAAGAAGGGAACGCCACGTTTGTGTTTGGGGAAAGTAAGCGAGCAGCAAGGAATGCAAGAACCGCTCCCGGGCCTATGTACCCCACTATTGAATCGTGACTAGGCCGGACCGCAAATGGGCAATTGTGGCGAGCCCCCCTTGCTTTAATTTCACAGTAGACTCAACAATCGCACGACGCTTGCTGCCGCACCAAAGCTTGAGGCCGCGTAAGATCACAGCACACTAGCATCTGCAGAAACATATTCTATTACGATGAAAGATACATCCTCCATTTACGACAAGTCGATAATTCGTCACACATAATATTTACAAATCATAAAGCCTCCGTGGCGGATCTCACAGCTCAAATAGCATCCCTAGAGTTGACCTGCTCAAGATGGGCCGAGACACCCTTTTTCTCGGTATAATCGCTCTCGGTATCACTGGAATGGAAGCTGTCAACGACCGTGCTGCTAAACTTCCTAGCCGGGACACGCTTCTCGAAGAGGATATCGAGCTCTCCGTAAGTCCTGCCCTTTGGCTCGGGAAGACGGAAGAACGCCCAGATAAAGCAGCAAAAGCACGTTCCGGCGTAGAAAAGACCACTCTTTGCGCCCCAATTCCAAGCACCGGGGTTGAGCATACGTGGAGTAATAACATTGCCGATGATAGAACCGATGTTGTAGAAGTTCCTGGCCAAGACGACAGTCTTTTGGCGAAGACGAGTGGATGGAATCTCTGCGACGATGGAGTAACAGACAGGTCCGACCGTACAGTTGTATGCGGCTGCAAAAAGCAGGAGCATGGCGCCGATACCCCACTGCGCGCCAACGTTGCCGGCTGGAATGAAACCGAGACCTCCGATGATACACAACAACATAACCATGGCGAGATCGCCATACACGTACAATGTGCGGCGTCCTACACGTTGGATGAGGATCCAGGCCATGAAGACACCCACGCCACCAATTGCGTATTGTCCTAGACTCATGGAGAACGCATCCGCGTCGCTAAGGCCTGCTTGCTGGAAAAAGTATGTTGAATAACCGATAAGACCTGCTCCGCAAAAGGCCTGCGTAAACCATGCCATGGCGGCGATTTCAGTTCGGCGGAGATCGGTACCCTTGAAACAGTCCAAGTACGAAGTACCTTCAGAGACCGCCATCTCCATGGCGTTGGTGTGGCGCATCATAGCAATGGTCTCATCGGCGTTGAAGTCAGGCAGCTTTTCGGGTGATGTGAGGCGCATCAACATCTTCTTTGCTTCTTCGCATCGGTCTTTCCGTACAAGCCACCAGGGAGATTCAGGTGCGAACGAGATGCCAATCATCAACGGGACAGGCCAGAGCCACTGCAGGGCGTATGGGATGCGGTATGCCCATTGGTCGGGGCGCTCGGCTACACCCTTCAAAACGCCAGAGGCGAGGAATTGACCGATGACCCAGCAGAGGTTGACGTATGTTGTAAGAATTGGACGAAGCGGCACCGGTACGACTTCGGCGGCATAGGTGCAAGTCAGGGTCTGGAATACACCCCATGGGATACCGCACAGGATGAGACCGCATAGAAGCATGGTGATGTTCTGCGCGAAGAAGACGATGAAGATGAAGAAATTCACAGCGAAGAGCGCGCCGATCATTGTCTTCTTGTAGCCGAAACGATCCGCGATGAGACCGTTCAGGAGCAGACCTGTGAACTCTCCAACGTATGCACCGTTTGTGAGGCCCGCTTGCCACGCAGCGGTGAGTTCGAAGGTGCCATCTGCAAGTTGTTCGCCAAACTTTTGCTTAAAGGCAGGAACCGCCATCAGGTTGGCGATCAAGACCTTGTCGAAGCCTTCCATGATGATGGCTGCGGAGAGCAGGACGGACCAGGCGATGGCCTTTGGGTATAGCTTGACACCCTGGCGCAGGGTCATCTGCTGCTCTGATCGAGTCGCGTTGCCGGCATCGTGGGCGACTTGTTTGATGTCCGTGACGGCGAGTGAAAGGCGGCGTGCCTGTTCGGCGTCGATAGCGACGACACTGCTGTTGCGGCGAGACATGATGGTCGTGTCCGAGGATGAGACGATGTCCAGGTGGCTTGACAAATGTGGGTATGTCCAAAGGATAAAGTAGGATGCTGTGGGTCAGACCCAGACCTCTCCTAAACGTGGAGCTGATGGGACTCGAAGCTGGATGGTGATCTCTCCTGGTGGATACCGTCGTTCTACTTATACAACTTCACGACCCCAGACACGCGATACCCATGCATAGACAGAGCTCGTGCCAAGTCAGAAACCGGGGATGGTGGAGGCAGTCAAGGGATGCGGGGAGGACGCCACTCTTGCAGCTGTGAGGCCATCTTCATCGCGCAGCACTATGGCTTGAAAGGCTAGGCTGTTGCTGGTGAGGCCCGCCGACACGGGTGTGCCATCGAAAACTCGGAGCAGGAGTGAAGGTCGTGATTCGACAAGATGCCGGACCGAGATTTCAAGGTTGCGTGCACGAGCCCCCAAAGCCGAAGCGACCATCACGTGTGGCACGGAAATGCGACTGAGCGTTCCCGCTAACGCGGTTTGCCTTTCATCTCGGACCGAGAGCATGAATCGATAGCCTGTCGCGCCCACCATCTCCCCGCATGCATCCTCGCTTAAATCCCGCAATATCGGACACGCGGGAAAGAACGTTGAAACACCATGCGATGGAAGACATCTGTGGGGAAGACTGTTGCTGGGTTGTGTGGGGATCGCCATGTGTAGACACGATCCGGCTTTGAGCCAATCGTCATTGTACCGAGAAACTTTCCGGTGGGGGGAACCTCCACGTGCGGTCCAAACACAGTGACCAGATCTCAACGACTACCCTCCATCTGATAAGATCCTATTGCAAGACGCTTATAAGAAAGCCACTGGTGCCATTGCAAGCCACCAAAGAAACGCTTGCCCTCATTGACGCTGCGTACCATCTCTACCCACCATACCTAGGTAATCAAAATTACCCCAAAGAGCACGGGGATCCAGCAGCAACACAATGACCGTTCCTCAAAGACCTTGGTGGAAAGATGGTGTTGTATACCAGATCTACCCCGCTTCTTTCAAAGACTCCAACGGCGACGGCATTGGTGACCTCAATGGCATCATTTCAGAGCTGGACTACATCCGCTCCATTGGTGTTGACGTCATCTGGATCTGTCCCATGTACGATTCACCCCAAGTAGACAGTAAGTATTACCTCTATACAAATTGCACGTGGTATATATATTGACCTTCTACTCCAACAGTGGGGTACGACATCCGTGACTATGAGGATGTGTACAGGCCGTATGGTACTGTCCAAGACATGGAGAAGCTGATCGCCGAGACACATTCGCGAGGCATGAAGATTATACTGGATCTGGTAGTCAACCATACATCTGACCAGGTAAGTCTTGAGGGTGCAGCTCGGCACAACCCTGCAAAATTGACTTCTCCAAGCACAAATGGTTCTTAGAATCACGATCATCGAAAGACAACCCCAAGAGAGACTGGTACATCTGGAGACCAGCTCGTTATGTCAACGGCGAGCGCAAAGCTCCCAACAACTGGGTCGGCAACTTTACAGGTAGTGTGTGGGAGTGGGATGAGCATACACAAGAATACTATCTACATCTCTTTTGCCCCGAGCAACCTGACCTCAACTGGGAAAACCCAGAAACACGACAAGCCATCTACAAATCCGCCATGGAGTTTTGGCTACAGCGCGGAGTTGATGGATTCCGCGTTGATACCGTCAACATGTACAGCAAAGGTGAGATGCTTGACGCACCGATCACCGATCCTGGTTCAGAATGGCAGTTTGCTGGATACCAGTACTGCAACGGCCCAAGGATGGCCGAATTCCTGAACGAGATGAACCAAATCTTGGAGAAGTACGATGCTATGACCGTCGGCGAGTGTCCCCACACACCAGACATGAAGAGAGTGTTGGAATATGTTAGTGCTAAAGAGAAGCAACTGAACATGGTCTTCCAATTTGTGAGCAAGCCCCAAAACCGCAAAAACAAGAGATCTGCAGTACTAACTATCAGCATAGGATGTCGTCGACGTCGGCCAAGGCCCCTACAAGTTCCAAACCACCCCTAAGAACTGGACACTCCCACAGTTCAAACGTGCCATGGCCCGCACGCAAGACCTCATTCGCGCCCCCTCAGATGGTTGGACTACCGTCTTCCTCGAGAATCACGACCAAAGTCGATCAATCACACGCTTCACATCCGATGCGCCCGAGCACCGTGTTGCAGGCGGCAAGATGCTTGCATTGATGATGGCAGCACTGAGCGGCACGTTGTTCATCTACCAAGGCCAAGAAATTGGCATGACGAACTTCCCTCTGACGTGGGATATGAGCGAATACAAGGACGTGGACTCGACAAACTACTACAAGATGGTAGCTGCGCGGACAAACGATGACCCCAAGGCTCTTGAAGCTGCGCATAAGTCGCTTCAGCATCTCGCTAGAGACCATGCTCGTGTGCCGATGAGCTGGTCGACCGCAACGCACAACGGCTTCTCGCCGCCTGACGCTACCGCGGAACCGTGGATGCGACCTCTTGAAGATGCAAATGTTTGCAATGTTGCGCAACAAAAAGGCGATAAGGATTCCGTGCTCGCTTTCTGGAAGCGCATGCTGCAAGTACGCAAGCAACACAACGATCTGCTTGTGCATGGTCAGTACGACGATCTAGATGTGGAGAGCCCAGACTTCTTTGTTTTCAGCAAGACA